GATTAATGGGAAACCATGAAGGGGTTTGGATCATGGGAGTGATCTAAGCTAACCTTCATTTTAAACGGATAGTTCTGACTGCCGCGTGGAGAATATATGGGGAAAGAGGAGACAAGGACACATGAAGGGACGACAGTTAGAAAGATAATTCTTTAGCCCAAGGGAGGATATTGTTGATATGGTCCAAGGGATTAGGATGGTAGCAACATAGGTGGCTGGGCTTCCTCTGCGGCTCAGTGATTCTTTAGAATCTGCCTGCAGTGCAGAAGATGCGGGTTCAATACCTTGTTTGGAGAGATTTCCTTGGAGAAGGAAATGGCAAGCCACTGCAGTATTCTTGCCTGGAGAATCCCATTAAGAGAGGAACCTGGTGGCTACAGTCCATGGGGTTGCAAAGAGTCAGACGTGACTTAGAGATTTAATAGCAACAGCAATGTAGGTAATAAGAAATAGCCTGCTCCTAGCCATATTTTAAACCTAGAACTGGCAGGATTTGCTGATGGATTTGGACCTGAGAAATTTGATAAATGGTGATGTCAAGATGGACAGTACTGGGACAGAAACCTACTTTGAGGGAGGAGTTGAGGTGAAAACCAAGTTTGATTTTGCAGTGTTAAGTGTTAGATGACTGTAATACACCCAAGTGGAAATTGGAGTAGGCGGTGTAAATCTCTGAGGATAAAAGCCATGGTACTAAATAAACTAAGAAGGAAAAAAAAGTATTTCAAGAAGGATGGAGTGGTTAACTGTGTCAAATGTGGCTTAGAGATCAAGAAAATTGATGATGGAACACTGACCATTGATCCAGCCAATTAGATGTCATTAGTAACCTTGGTAAGAGGGGTAGCAATGATGTAGTGGGGATAGAAGCCTGCATTGAGAGAAAATGGAACATGAGAGACATTTGGGGGGTTTTTCCATGAAAGAGATGAGAGAAATGCTGAATTTTGATATTTTGAATATATGAACTGTGTAAACTTCTCTACAAACATAAGATACCTCATCATATTTTTTAAGACCTTGAAACAAATTTTATATAGTCATTATATTGAGTATGTAATTATTCAATAAATATGGTTGATGTTTTACTATTTTATATTGATTTTACTGTACTAATATATTTTTCATAGATTGTTTTGTGCACAAAAATGTACTCTATATTGAAATATGGTCACTTTCCTCTAAAGAATTTCTAAAATTATTACAAGTTAAAAATATACATAAATCAAATTTTAACATACTCATAGCTGGTAACAATATTATATTGCTTTAAGTATTTTCATATTATATAAAGTAACTGGAAGAATAATACTTGAATACTTGATATTAACTTTAAATGTAGCTATTAGGTTCTAAGATGTTCTGAATTTGATGACATGTGCAATGTTAAATTCAGTTGACTGTTTAGAGCTTTATTTTCTTCATTTTAGCATATTTAATACCCAGATTACCTTGTCATCTTCTTCTTTACCATAATTGGCTGATCCTACTCTTCAGGGATAAAAATAAGGATCCATCAATGGCCCTGTACTCCCAAAGTACTCCTTTTTCCCATCTCCACACAGAAGAAGCAGGCTTTTCAACATCTGAACTTAATGATTTGCATGAAAAACCACATGATGAATCCCTACAGCTCAATCATTCAAATTACGTGTCAAAGGGAAAAAAAAAATATCCATTTTTCGATCATGGGAAGAGGGTGCAGATAGATAGGCAACCAAGAGCATCAGTGCGGCACAAAGTGGAATTTATTTTAAACCTTCCCTCAAAGGGCTGCCCTCAAATCTCCTGTGCTCAGAGCTATGACACTGATTGCACCATCCCACTTGCAGTTCAGCCTTCCCAAGATTTCTGATTCATGGATCAGCCTTGAATGACCAACCTTCCATCTCAGGAGCAGAGTTTTCCGTGTAAAAGAGACTGACTCTCCATAGCTTCTGTCAAAGACTGACTAATAACCTCACTCAGGTGTCTGACACCTTGGAGAAGGAAGTGAAACTTTCATCAGCTGGATTTTCTTTTTAAGAAAGTTGATTGCATAGTTCATGCAGTTCATTAATCCTAGTTTACTGGGTTCTTTATAGGTGGTAACAATCCACCTATACAGAGGCTGCGTAATGCTGATGGTAAGCAGCAGGCCATCCCCAAGAAGCACATGGCAGGTGCCAGGTTAGCTTCCCACATTTCTGTAGATTTGACTGAGGAGACAGTGGGTCCAAAGGGACTGACAGAGTATATTACATACACAGCATAAATGGAGTCACCTCTGTGTCAGCTTTCCAGATCCCTAGAAAGGCCAGGACTAGGGTGAGCAAATCAGGTACTTAGGGCACGGAGTTTAAAGAGCCATTCCCTCTTAGGATTCTACAATTGTCAGTTTGTTTTGCAGATGTATAGGAATGGGCTATACTATTTAAGAATGGCATATAACATTTAAGGGGTATCACTCTCAGGATCCTGTAAGGGCTGGATCAGCACCTGTATGACCTTCAAACTGAGTGTCTCCTTACGTTTTTCACCTTAGTCACATTGCTTGCCTAAGTCCAGTCCTGGACCTGGGCCCCAGGCCCACAGGACACCACTTTTGATTAAGCCAGATAACAGACGGTAAGAGCAGTGGGCTCTTCTGTTGAGGGGGAGCCCATTCCATCCTGAGCTTTAGTAATTCTATATCCTGTAGATGGATCTGGGGGTGCAAGGGAAAATTGCATGCCTCACTAGTGCCTCACTAGTGCCAGGGAGGAGAATGAGAACCAGTTGTGTGGAAGCTCTTCATGGCTTGCTTATGTTGTCGTGTTCCTGGGAGGCCCAAAGGAAGTTCCACCAAGACCTGTGCCAGCCAAAGGTTAGCCTTGCCCACATGGCCCACGTGGATATGTGCACACTCACCAGGATGCCAAGGTGAAGCTGTTCCCTACTATTGGTGTTAAACACACAGGCTTGAAAATCAATCAATCAATCAGGTTTGGAATCATACAAATATATTTTGTAACCCAACTTTTTAATAGCTGTATGATATTGGTTAAGCTATATAAATGTTTTAACCTGGTAAGTGAGAAAAGAATAACTACTTTATAAGGTTGTTGTAGCTATTTTCTAAGACTGTTTATAATGTATACAAAGCATTTAAAGAATATCTACATGTAGTAAATGTTCAGTAAGTAATAATCATTTTATTAGCTATTAAATCTAAATTCCATAACCTAAAAAAAAATCAAAGTTTGATTTGAATGTTTTAATCAAATAGCATTATTACAATAGCAAATTTTAAAACTATTTATAAAAATTAATGTTTTTACTTTCTAGTATCTCCCTTTTTGTTATGTATTTAAGAAGACATGTGAAAACAAGGTAGACACATTTGTCAAAGATTTAAGTTATATTTGGTAGACAAAATATTCAACAACCATCTAAAAGACTGACTCACTTTCAACTATTTTCAGAGTTTCTCAAGGGATTTGCTTATTTCACCTATTAATTTTACAACATAAATGCATTCACGCATACTTGTCTTGTTGTTCACACCTGAAAATTATTTTTGCATCAAGTGATGGATAAGCCATGTTTAACTTGGGTTTTTGTGCAAGTAGGACACTGTCTCAACCTACACTCAGAGTAGAATATGAGCTCAAAAATTCTTTTTTAATTAAAAGAGTAAAAGTATACATCTGTATTCTCTTTAGAGCCATGAATTCATAATTTGCTTTAATTCAGCATGTTAAAAATCTTGAATAACAATGCCTTTTCCATGCATCTTCAGAATTCTCTTGTTGATTAATTTTTCTCAAGACCGTGAGAATTAGTAGCATTCTTAATAATATCTGCCTGTTCGGCTGATTCTCTGATCATAGATATTTAAATTTCTTTGCCTTTTGTCTTTACGCCGATGCCTTTCTTTCATCTCTGATTTCTAGCTGCAACTGCATTTCCCCAGATTCCTCAAACCTCTGCGTTCAGCTAGATGCAAACAGATAAGGAGTGACCAGGGTCACAAGACAGAAACATTTTAGCAAAAAGTGTGATTTATGTAATCCTAAACTTCTTTCTGTTACCTCTGAGCAGATTGTTTGTTTTCCTTTTTTTTTTATTTGGGAGGAGAGGGGGCTGGTTTAAAAATTAAAGGCTGCAAACGTTAACATCCCGAAAGATTTTACTTAAAAACCTACAATTATAGATTCTTTTAAAAAGATCATGATTAGTAACCCTGGAACCAAAGCCATGCAACTGATAAAAAAAAGAGCTGCAGCTGTCCCTAAAACAGGGCACTTGCTTTCTAGTTTGCCACAGCATCACCCATTTCTTCATTTGTGATATCTTTGTCAATTGTAACCTTTGCTCAAGGCATGATATACTGTGGTTACCAATTTAAGATTAGAAATCAATCCTTGTGAAAGAATAGCTAATCTATCCAGATCTGTTTAAATTTTCATCTTCTATATGTAGTAACTGGAGAAGGAAATGGCCACCCACTCCAGTATTCTTGCCTGGAAAAATCACATGGACAGAGGAGCCTGGTGAGCTGTGGTCCTTGGGGTCGCAAAGAGTCAGGCACGACTTAGCCACTGAACATGTATAGTAATTGAGTGAACTGAAGATAATTAGTTTTTTTGTAGTTTGAGCATTTTCCATAGGTTCAAAATTCTTGCAAATAATGTGTTAAATTGCAATTTCATTTAATTTTTTTTATTCAGTTCCACCCTCACTTCAGCTTCTTAGAGAATGAAACATTTGCTTTCTAACCTAGGGCCATTTTCTTTGCATATTTCAAGAATAATTAATGTTTGTATTTTTTTCTGTTTACAGATTGTACAGAAAATATCTAGATCTTTAGATAACAACAATTGGCATAGCTTTACCATAAGCAAAATTAGCGCAAGACAAAACAAAAATGTAGTTGAGTACCCTCATTTTGTAGCTAAAAGATATATTACACTGTGGGACTGGGAAATTCTCCATGCTGTTCAGTAGCATTTTACAATCAACACCTCTCCCCTTTTCAGGATATCGAATCCCTAACAGGAGGGCTGACTGGTTCTAAGGGGGCTGATCCACCGGTAAGTTAGATTCTTCATTAAATTTAACTATTGACAAATTGAATTATGTACATACCAGATCATCAGGATTACTTGTATACAAGTAGTTATACAGGTAACTTTTTGGAATAGGTTCTTTACAAACTTTATAGCTATTGCAATAGCTAATATAAAAATGTGAGCTTGCTTCGTGGTGTCATTTGGTCTTTTAGAAAGTTTTAATAATTCGTAAAATTCATCCCTATATTGACTCTAAAAATAGGGATGAAAGCTTCATTAGAATGTATAAACACCTTACATCCTACTAACGGGTTACAACAGAAGTTAAAATTTTTGTAACTTGAGAGTTTACTGTTTCAAACAAGTGTATGATTTTGGTTGCAATATACTCTTGTTACTGAGAAAAAAGATTTTTTTTTTTTCAGGCCATTTTTTTCACAGTGTTGATTCTTGATATCACTGTTTCTTTCCTACTTTACCCATGAAATACATGAAAATTTTAGAAGATTGCTATTTTTAGACAATAACAAGAGATTGATAGTCTAATATTGGAACACTGTAGTCTTTTCTGTGATGTCTGATCTCAGAAAACATTCAGTAAAATAACATTCCTGTGATTTCACTCTCCAGGCACAAACATAAGTTTATGGCATTATCTCAAGTGATAAAATTCAGTGTATTTCAACAAATACCCAAAGTATATATTTTTTTAATCACTGCTTCTTTTTCACTTAGCTCTGTGAGGTTTAATATGAAACAAAATCCTGTGTTTTCAATTTTCAGCTATACTTCATCTAGGCATCTATCTGAAGTCCATAATTACATTAAGACATCACTGAAGTGTTAAAGAAAACTAATTGTAGCTTTTTCTCTCCTGTCTTACTCTCGTGTATCTCATGATGCTATCTAATCTTTATCAAATTGCTCCTAAAGTAGGCTAAACAACGTATTTTAGTCCATTCCTGTCCTGTTAGTTTCATGGTCTGAATTTATGCAGGAAAAAAATGTATTGTCTTCAGATATCTGCTTATATTTAGTCCCTGAATATATTACACTGAAGCATAAGAAAAGATGAAATGTGAGTCAGCCCAGCAAGTATATTATGACAGGATTTTTGGCCAGTCCTATATGCAAGCAGTATAGGTCACTGCTTATGTGATGTAATTTCACCCTGCTGTTTTGCATTATGTTTGTGCATAGCATTCCCCTTTTATTAGAAGAATAAGTCCATTCCCTTTAAAATACCTCCCTCACTGTTCACTGATTCCTGAAAGAATTCTGCAATTAGAGATAAGTTGGTTTTAAGAGGATTTGTCTCTTGTTCAAAACTAAGCAAAATACCTCTCTTCTACATGTGGCCATAAAACTCTTTCTTACCTGCTCTTTTCGTGTTAAAATAAGTTAATCACATCCTTTCAAGAAGGCAAATTTCAAACCATGGAAGATTGAGTCAGCATTAAAGCCTTGTTATTAAAAGAAGCCCCTGTGGCAAAAAGGTCACAGAAATGAAAGTTGATGACCTGAAGGCAAACTTAACCAACTTCATTTCTAAGAGCTAAAGTGAAGTGAATATGTACCTGTGTTTTATACTACACATATGTTTGTCTTTTCTTTGGACATAATTTATAATATCATGAGGATAGAGGTTCTCCCTTGGCATCTCCTAACATGAAGGTGTGTTTATTTTATAACATTTTGTAGAGTGGAAATTCTTCACACAAATGTCAGAGTATTTGAGCGCTTAGACAATCTAGAGTGTTAACAGTATACATTTTTTTTTTACTGTTGTTAAAGAGCTATCCCCTTGTTAAAGAGATAGCCAAAGCATATTACCAAGAGCTATGTAATAAAACCTCTTTTTAATATTCTATATAGCTTATAAAAGTAGTCCAGATATGAAGGTGAAACGGTAATAATGTCTACAGTTGCTTCAGTCATTTAAGACTTTGAATTATATAGTTTTTGCTCCCAGATTAGAAAACTGAAAGTCAGATTAAATTATACATAAATTAAGTGCATTTGAAGTTGCATATTATTTTTTTCTTTCTTTAGGAAGGGTCTTTATATTAGATTTTCTAAATACTATTATTCATTATCCATTTCTAAAGTTATTTATGTATTTTTAATAAATGTTTACAGTGTATTACTAAAGCCATTCTGTGTTGAAATTTTCATTGGTAAGAAATTCAAGGTCTTATAATTTTTGCTTATTGAACAGAGTAATATAAAATGTTGAATGAATGGTCTCTCATTGAATAGCATAGCTGTGGAGTAATATCTTTACCAGTGTAGTAGAAATACCAGATACATCTTTAAGTAAGAGTGTATTTAAAGCTTGAAAAATTTTCTGTGAATAGACATAAATATTATTTCTGAAGATTAAAAAAGTGAATGTTACATTTTTTCAGATAGCAAGTGTATATAAAAATTTTTGTTAAATTTGCAAATGTGTTTATGCATTTGCATATCTGGTAAGAATAAATTTGTGTAACTCTAGGAATTCAGTTTGCATTGATATTTTTAACTCTAAATGTTAAGGAGGTATTTTGAAAATTCCAGTAGTCTTAGTTGTAATTCTAATAATGAAAGGGAGACTGGCTCATTCATTATTTTCAGGGGACAATTCAAGATGTTTTATGATTTCCTTCTGAAAAGAATTTCGGGAAGTATGTTTTTAAATTCATAAACTGGAAACCCATTGTTGCTTCATATAGAACTTACAGAATTTTCTAAATCACACAATTATCTCAGACAAAATGTATTCTATCATTGAGAAAAATATTGCCTGTTATGTTAACTCAAAATTATCTTTGAAAAATTGTATCAAAGATATTATATATTCTGCATATATTTTTTATTCACAAAAATTAGACCACAGATTAACCTCTAGTGTACATATATTGCATATATTCACATATAAAAATAAGTAAACTTTTTAACATTAAAAAATCTGCCTGCAACATGGGAATAAGCCACGTTTGATCCCTAGGTCGGGAAGATCCCCTGAAGAAGGGAATGACTACCCACTCCACTGTTCTTGGGGCTTCCGTTATAGCTCAGACAGTAAAGCATCTGCCTGCAATGCAGGAGACCCAAGTTTGATCCCTCGGTCAGGAAGATCCCCTGGAGAAGAGAATGGCAACCCACTCCAGTATTCTTGCCTGGAGATTTCCATGGAGAGAGGAGCCTGGCGGGCTACAGTCCACGGGGTTGCAAAGAGTCAGACCTGCTGCTGCTGCTAAGTCGCTTCAGTCGTGTCCGACTCTGTGCAACCCCATAGATGGCAGCCCATCAGGCTCCTCTGTCCACGGGATTCTCCAGGCAAGAATACTGGAGTCGGTTGCCATTTCCTTCTCTCAGTCAGACATGACTGACTGACACACCCATATAAAATAAAGGGAAGAAAAATAGATCATTAAAATGTCATTATTAAATAGTGCTCTTTAAATACACCATTTCACCATAGTGTTTTAAATTGTAAATATTAGCATTATTAAAAGTGAAAAGCTTGTGAAATGTTAGATGTCAGGGATGTCTCACATTACCAAGTTGTCAGGCCATCAGGCCAGCTGATAGGAAGGCCAGGATAAGGTCTAAACAACTCAGTCTCTGATAGCCAAGGGGATTTTGGGTGCTGAAAAGCAGGTACAAAGCATAAACAGTTCAACTGCTGAACCAGCTGAGCCTCGTATCTGGAGCGCTGTGGCTAGGCAGGGCCATGCGGAATCAGCAGTGTGACAGATCGCTGTCTTGTCTTGAGCCCATGAGCCAATGATGCAGAGGTTTTGGCCAACCGTTGGCCCAGGAGCCAGGATTTGTCCCACACTGCTAGCTACATCTAAGTCTGCAGGGGGGATTTAGTAGCTAAGCTCTGGCCACAAAAGTTAAGTTTAGTGATACAGACCTAAGCAGACTAATGTACACAATGAGAGGAGTTTCTCTTTGTCATTTGGTTTAAGAAGTGTTCTTACTATTTATATGCTGATATAAACAGCTATTCACTTTCTTATTATTTCTGATTATTTTTAAGAGTTAATATGGACAAAATCTAATCTATAGTGAATAAGTGACTATGCAGCTAATCTGTATCCTTAGGCTTGATATGCACGCTGTTCTGAACATTCTCCAGCTGTATTAATTTTTTTCCCCGCTGAGGAACCAGAATTGTACATTCCATATTTTTGTACTTTCTGTTCTCTTTTTAATGGTCTTCCTGATGGTTCTTAGCAATTTGAGTAAACACTCCACAGAACTTAAAACCAATTCATTTTCCTGAGGGTGCTATTTAGATCAGGTTATATATTTTTCAAATTGTAAATAGCATAAAAATTTTAAAGTCTCCAAACTGATTTTAATTTGATTTTTCAAAAAATGCCAATGTTCTACTCACTTGCTTCAAAAGATAAGACAATGCAAAATGTGAGTTTGAATTGTGATCTAATTTATTTTTTTTCACCTTGAACATTCTATTGCTTTATTACTTACTTTCATTGTCCTATTTGTTTAGTCAGAATTTAGTGTATATTTGAGTGTATGCTGTGTGCTAGACATTTACTTAGGTTTTGGAAATACTGTGGTAAGCAATTCACAGTTTCTTTTTTCAGCATCCTATAATATAGTTAAAAAGACAGGTTGGTAAAATAATTGCAATGTAATATAAGCACAGGATGAGATGAAAGTAAGTAAGTGGATCATGTAATCCAAGTTGGGAGTAAGAGGTGGCTGGAGGATCAAAGAAGGCAAATAAAAGAAAACAATATCTAGTTGTAGAATGAGGTGAAGCTTGCCAACTGAAAAAAGTCAAGCATGGAATTTTAAATAAGGAAATACTATATGTATAGGTGAAAAATTAGAAAACAGAGTGGCTAGCATACGAAATAGGAGAAGGCAGTGGCACCCCACTCCGGTACTCTTGCCTGGAGAATCCCGTGGACGGAGGAGCCTGGTAGGCTGCAGTCCATGGGGTCACGAAGAGTCAGACACAACTGAGCAACTTCACTTTCACTTTTCACTTTTATGCA